CCGTGTGACAGGTCTTGACAGTTGATATACACTCGCTGTCGTTATGTAATAAACGTTGACTGTTGGCGCGGTGTGATTCCATTAGCCAGATCTCTCTTTCGTCGCACGTCCCACCAGTCAGATCATCAAGTGGGGATTGATAACTCACGTATTTAAATGGGACTATCCCAAACTGGATGCACCAGGGCCGTATACCTGCTTGGTACATTTGGTAATCGTGAAACAGATAATATCTCAAATTACCTCTTTTCGTTATTTCTGGATAAAACAGAAAAAATATATCTAAAACAATTTACATTGTGTTGTAGTGTTTAGAATCTCTGAGAAAATATACCACAAAAAACTAGAAAACATTTCGTATGTTGCTAATTTCATATCGTTTTTCAGGATATAGCCTACTATCTCGATTCTTACATAGCAACGACAGTTCTGTCTAAGAAATATCATAAGCTGGGTGTATCTGAATAAGAAATATTAAATGCTGGGTGTATCTGAATAAGAAATATCAAATGCTGGGTGAATCTGAATAAGAAATATCCTAAGATGGGTGTATCTGAATAAGAGTGAGTGAGTTTAGTTTTACGCTGCACTCAGCAATATTCCAGCTATATGGTGCCGGTCTGTTAATGATCGAGTCTGGACCAGACAATCCAGTGATCAACAGCATGTGCATCAGTCTGCGCAATTGGGAACCGATGACATGTGTCAACCAAGTCAGCAAGTCTGACCACCCGATCCCGTTGGTCGTCTCTAAAAACAAGCATGGGTTACTGAAGATCAATATTCTAACCCGGACCTTCACGGGTAATCTGAATAAGAAATATCATAAGCTGGGTCTATGCGAATAAGAACTATCAGAAGCTGGGTGTATGTGAATAAGAAAAATCAGAAGCTGGGTGTATGTGAATAAGAAATATCAAAAGCTGGGTGTATGTGAATAAGAAATATCAGAAGCTGGGTGTATGTGAATAAGAAATGTCATAAGGTGGGTGTATGTGAATAAGAAATATCAGAAGCTGGGTGTATGTGAATAAGAAATGTCATAAGGTGGGTGTATGTGAATAAGAAATATCAGAAGCTGGGTGTATGTGTGTATGAGACATATGAGGATGCTTCAAAATAGTTCCATGTCATGATACGTTTTGGTGGCAAATGTCCCGAATATATACTCCCAGATGCTTTGATGTCAGAGTGATAAATGTACATTCTTGACAAACGTTTACTGTTTCAAAAACAGGAACAATATCTATCTAGCTAATTTTAAGTGACATACTCAGTGTTCCACCTATTGTGACCACTATCTGTCTAGTTATCTTTAAGTAACATAGTCAGTGTTCCACCTATTGTGACCACTATCTGTCTAGCTATCTTTAAGTAACATAGTCAGTGTTCCACCTATTGTGACCACTATCTGTCTAGCTATCTCTAAGTAACATAATCAGTGTTCCACCTACTGTGACCACTATCTGTCTAGCTATCTTTAAGTAACATAGTCAGTGTTCCACCTATTGTGACCACTATCTGTCTAGCTATCTTTAAGTAACATAGTCAGTGTTTCACCTATTGTGACCAATATCTGTCTAGCTATCTTTAAGTAACATAGTCAGTGTTCCACCTATTGTGACCACTATCTGTCTAGCTATCTTTAAGTAACACAGTCGGTGTTCCACCTATTGTGACCACTATCTGTCTAGCTATCTTTAAGTAACATAGTCAGTGTTCCACCTATTGTGACCACTATCTGTCTAGCTATCTTTAAGTAACATAGTCAGTGTTCCACCTATGGTGACCACTATCTGTCTAGCTATCTTTAAGTAACATAGTCAGTGTTCCACCTATTGTGACCACTATCTGTCTAGCTATCTTTAAGTAACAAAGTCAGTGTTCCACCTATTGTGACCAATATCTATCTAGCCATCTTTAAGTAACGTAGTCAGTGTTCTACCTATTGTGACCAATATCTGTCTATAGTCCGTTTGGCTCAAAATCGGACCGATGAATTGCAATCTAACTCGAAAACTACTAAACATGTAGTACTCAATGAAACACTGATCATAATCAAAATATCAGACCGATGTTTTGGCAGAATTTATGTCCTAAAAATAAATAAAGTTGTTTAACCAACTATCATTAAAAGCTTGACACAGTTCACTATTTGTTATGGGGGAGGGGTGTAAAGAGAGGAACAGCCAGGTGTGAGAGGAACAGCCAGGTGTGCGAGAAAGGATGGAGACGGCACAGCACAGGTTAATGAATCAATGACTTTATCGGCACTTGTGCACGTGCTTCGCATACACCTGGCTGTTCCTCCCTTTGCAGTCCTCCCTCGTAACAAACTGTGAACAATGTCAAAATTTTAATATTAGTTTGTTAAACAACTGTATTATTTTCAGGTAATAAAGTCTTTAAAAAAGTCACAGAGTTGGTCTGATGTTATGATTATGATCAGTGTTTCATTGAGTATTCTATGTTTAGTTGCTTTCGAGTTTGATTGCAATTCATCGGTCCGATTTTGAGCCAAACGGACTATAGCTATCTTTAAGTAACATAGTCAGTTTTCCTCCTATTTCAACCACGAGACTGTGACCTGGTAAGACTGAATGCACAATGGTAAGTTATTGCTGTTTTACATGCTAAATACGTTTTTTTCGACAAAAGTAAGCTTTCATTGTACAAAGAAAATCCAGTTTAGAAGTAGAACAGAAGATCTTTTCAAAATGATTTTGTTTTTCAATTCTGAGGCATATTTGTTCAGAAAAGGAAACACGTGAAATGTTACAGTATTTTGACCATCTTATATAAAGCCCAAATCATATTAGTTATATAACACCTGTGCATTTATGTCCTGCATTTAATACCTACAATAGCGAAACTAGGTTCATTTCTTGGTTTGTCCAAACTTCAAACCATTAACCGAAACTTTGGTAACAGCGTTGTCAAGTTAAGATATCTTTGCAAAAAACACCATGAACATAATAGCCTCTCGAGAAGGATGACATACACAGATTTCAGATGAATACAGAATAATTGGCAAGAAAATGACATCGAATATATGAAAGAACACATCATACGGTAGATTATAGAAAGGTCTAGTTCTATTTGTTAAAGCATTTAAAACCTGTGCGGCTTGCTGGGAATGTGTGGGATGCCAACCTCCTAATGATGACAGGTGGTCTGGATATGCACAATTTGAGATCCAGACTTGCCTCAGCACGAAAATATCCCCCAGCACATTACTATCGATCATAATGATGTCATCTCGAAAAAGTAGTATAAATACATCTACTGAGCACAACTGTATACATCTCTAATTGTCCTTATTGAAAAAAAGAGAAAAATAAAAGAGGATTATGGACATCCTTGACACCACCCACAAGAAGCCTTGGAATACCAAATATGTTTCAATACTACAGTTCATGATGCTTCCGGTTGCATATCAGTATGCTGAAGGCTTCTAGATAACTGCATATCAGTATGCTGAATGATTCAAGATGGCTGTATATCAGTATGCTGAATGATTCAAGATGACTGTATATCAGTATGCTGAATGATTCAAGATGACTGTACATCAGTATGCTGAACGCTTCAAGATGACTGTATATCAGTATGCGTGCTGAAGGCTTCTAGATAACTGTATATCAGTATCCTGAACGCTTCAAGATGACTGTATATCAGTATGCTGAATGATTCAAGATGGCTGCATATCAGTATGCTGAATGGTTCAAGATGGATGCATATCAGTATGCTGAACGCTTCAAGATGACTGTATATCAGTATGCTGAATGATTCAAGATGACTGCACATCAGTATGCTGAACGCTTCAAGATGGCTGTATATCAGTATGCTGAACGCTTCAAGATGACTGTATATCAGTATGCTGAATGATTCAAGATGGCTGCATATCAGTATGCTGAATGATTCAAGATGACTGTATATCAGTATGCTGAATGATTCAAGATGGCTGCATATCAGTATGCTGAATGATTCAAGATGACTGTATATCAGTATGCTGAATGATTCAAGATGGCTGCATATCAGTATGCTGAACGCTTCAAGATGACTGTATATCAGTATGCTGAATGATTCAAGATTACTGCACATCAGTATGCTGAATGATTCAAGATGACTGTTTATCAGTATGCTGAAGGCTTCTAGATAACTGCATATCAGTATGCTGAATGATTCAAGATGACTGTATATCAGTATGCTGAATGATTCAAGATGACTGTATATCAGTATGCTGAATGATTGAAGATGACTGTATATCAGTATGCTGAATGATTCAAGATGACTGTATATCAGTATGCTGAATGATTGAAGATGACTGTATATCAGTATGCTGAATGATTCAAGATGACTGTATATCAGTATGCTGAATGATTGAAGATGACTGTATATCAGTATGCTGAATGAATTAAGATGACTGTATATCAGTATGCTGAATGATTCAAGATGACTGTATATCAGTATGCTGAATGATTCAAGATGACTGCACATCAGTTACTTCATCTGAATGATTAAAGTTTGTAAACCTGTGCAGATTATAAACCTTCCCAGGTTAATCATCCTTTATTCGGTTACATTCTCAGTTAATACAGTGTCTATACTGATAAGGGCAAATGAACTTTCCTTCTACTGACAAGATAACGTAAGATGACAGTTCACCTTCGACGGAATGAAATATGCCACTTAGCTCTACATGGTTAATAAGATCCCCTGTTTTGAACATGTACGTCAGTAGATACTGAGGTAAATCATGAGAATCTAAATGTTTAGTGCCCGTTGATATCTTGTGGGAATTATTTTACTCCAACTGATATGACTGACTGTATTTCAAATGTGTAGGCCCAACAGATGGACAGTATCCAAGCAGATGATAATGATCAGTTCCTTGTAAATTAGTCACTCGCGAGTATCCTTTCCCCACTTCTGTTACACTGAGTCTGTTACAGCCAGTTACTCACTACAGACAGAAGCGTTCGTGAACAGTATTCACTCACCTGACAAGCTCCTTATTCCACAGATACCACAGAGAACTCCTGTGTTTGGTGCCTATGCTAAACAGCGGTGTGATCGACTGTATAGTAGAAAACTTTCCACAAATGTAAATATTTGATTCTTTCATTAATTTAAAGCGATATCCAGCAGAGGCCCTCGGTTACGGAAGTAACGTGACTGAGAGCTTAAATTCCGATTTCGCGTGCCCACTAAATCCACCGAAATAGTAGCTGATGCATCCAAGGGTAAAGGCGTAATCCTATTAAATCCTTTTTCAAATGGGTACTGAGACGTTATGCTGCTCTTCTTCACAGGACAAAATGCATTGCAAACAGAATGAATTACTTTGCGTAAAATCCCGCCCTTCTCCAATATCTCTGTCCGACCCTAATTGCTATAAATTTACAATGAGAGGCTTCGACGACTGGGAATTCGACGTTAATACGTGATTATGGTGTAACGGAAACACAGGTCGCTGATTGGTCATAACGTGTTGATGTGCTTCAATCAATGAACCGATGGAAGGACACCGCTGAAACCACCAGTCAGTCCCGTGAAGCACTAACATTGATCAACTTGGCTCATCTATATTAGCAAAGACTTGTTAGATTATTCGGTAGGGTGTTCATGGAACCATACGCGTGTTCACCAATTTAACTGTTCACTTGTATCTACTTGATGACCCAATGGCGAGAAGCAGCCACCTAAACACGACGTGAGGACAACGGTTAGTTTACAATTACTGTTTACTTGACTTTCTTGTCATTAGAACTACATCTGTTGACCAACAGGTTCAATTATGTACTCAAACCATGGGTATTCATATAGAACGGACACATACTAAACTTCATGAGAAGGGCAGTGTGCCGTAGAAGACCCGAGTTCAAATCCCCTCATGGGTACATGTGTCAAACTCTGCATTGGGTTTCACCGTCCAGCTATTGCTGGACTAGTACTAAACGCGGTACAAACCCCGCCTTATCTACTCGATAATGGCAAGGAGTAAACCAGTGAAATAGTGTCTCATGTGTAAAACCTGCCTTGTTTACCCAATAATGGCAAGAAGTAAACCAGTGAAATAGTATCTAAGGTGTAAAACCTGCCTTATTTACCCAATAATAGCAAGATGTAAACCAGTGAAAAAGTGTCTCAGGTGTAAAACCTTGAGAAAGCAATTAAAACTATACGAGTTCCCATGGAATGTTGCTATGTTTTATCAGCCGTGAAACGCAACTTGCCAGACAGATTTGATCCAGGTGAACACGTGCAGTGATTCCGCAGTGCAGTTATGAGGAAACATGTAATTACCTTTAACACTTAAAGCTGCCGGAGACACGTATTTATAACCTAATAACCAATATATCACATATTTGGATCACATAATGAGACTATAACAATTTTCATACCTACCTTTAACCCAAAATGACGACGTTTCAAACATTGCAGTGAATAAACACGTCCTTATGCAAACGACGAAGACTAGAACAGAAATGAGTGGACAAGGAAATTCTTTGTAACATTATTGGTAAATTACCCTATAATGATCTCGAGAGGATTTGTTTGTGATACTCATGATAGTGATCCAACACTGAATTAATAAAAGAGTCCACAGTCTGCAGATGAAACAAGTAATAAACGAGATAAATAAGCATAATCCTTTGACGGTCGATGCAATTAGTTACAGTCCGAAAGCTCAAAAGAAATACTTACTAACTCTGCATCAGATAACAGGAAGTCACTGTTCGATCAGCATTGAAAATTCATCTATCTGAGGATATTAATAATTAGATAGAACAAAATTGGACGCACAAAGGACGTCTCATAATGACTCTACACATACAATCTGAGATGGGCTTACTTTACAATGAAAGGACGTGATACTGCAGTAATTGACATCATTGTTACCGAGACCTCAGGTTTGAGGTAATAGGACGGAACGATGTGAACACTCCTTACATATCTTTTTACTGATTCGCCGGACAAAAGAAGGACAGAAAATATGACCACAACATTGAAAATAAATTATGACAAAAACATTACACCCGTTTCAAAACGTTACCGGGCTGAAAACAGTCTCAGGACAACGAACGGCAATTTATGTCCATTTTCTTATGATCACAAATACACATTACAGGTGCTTCAACAAAACATTGGTTTGTTTTGTTCCATGATTCTCTGAAAATGCATGTTTCTATAAAATAGTGATCTAAAACCTGTTCCCACATAAAATTCCGGTTTTTTGTAAGATTATTGTCATTATTTTACATCTAAGAGGTAACCGTTGGGAAAATAGTGGCTGCTGAAGGTTCGTGTCAACATTTATCCGTCACATGGCTGACCTGCCTCGTCAGTGACCCTACTGTTACCAATCGCATATTTGATAATACCTGTGTCAATAGGGACTCTCCTCATTGTTTTGTGCATAATTCCAATCCGATAAATATATTCTTAGCCAACATGGGACCGGCACCTCATGTAGGCCTACGGTGGATCCTCTGCGTTTTTGTGTATGTTGCGTGTTGTAAATAGTTGAATTATAATTATGCTTATTTATATAGCGCCTGCTTCCACGCACTTGTCCATGCTCGAGGCGCTACATGTTCTGGAAGAGTAATGCCGATGCTGTACTAAACCCCATCACCTCCATCACCACACACGCACGCACGCACGCACGCACGCACGCGCACACACACACACATGCACGAGCACGCGCACGCGCACACACGCACACTCCAAGGGGCAGCGCGGTGTCATTACAATAGAAGCATATCCATAATGCACAAGAGGTTAATATTGGCTTAGGAAAGCAGACGGAAGATTCTTTCATTACCAGCCTAAATAGACTATGCCACTCTCCCTTTCAGAGAAAACAGACCGGGTGTTAAATGAATCCTTAGGAATACAGAAACCCACTCTCCTGACATGCAAAGGCAAAAGGTTTCACCTGCGCAAACACCTTTGGGCAAAGGAAAACAAGGTGAAACTTATCAAGTGTAAAACCTTGTTCTGTGGCGTCATAGTTGACAACAACGGCCTTCATCGTGTTTCTGTGTTGTATAGCTTGGCCAACACTGCTACATTGTGTGCCCTTTAACGACATCGTTGGACGACTTCTAATCAGATGGTGACATCTCGAGGCAGTCAGATTTTAGTGACTCCACCGCTGTCGGCATTGATGTCTTGTTGGCGCTGCAAATCTATGTATGTTAAATAACTTTGACATCCATAGTGTTGTGTGCCAATATTCAGTGTTAATCAAACTACTGTGCCAGCGAGCAATAATGAGGCAGCGGCTGGTGATATTACTCACTGGCATTAAAGAGACCAACCCATGAAAGAAAGGCAACTGACACAGATACGGACGGCAATCTCAACCCAACAGACTCACTTTCACATAATTACAGAGTTGAATATGATAAAGGGTAAATCAAGTTAAAGACCGAAATTCATTCACACTTCCTGAGAGGAAATTTACTTTGTTTCCGGAAATAAGGAAAACTTCATTAATTGTGTGAGCTACATGTCTCTCTACGGAGAGACTCCGTGGAATCAAACAGCAGAAAACGTTGTAAAAACGTGTGTGGTATGTTTAGACTCATCTGCCGTGCCACTTGCTTGACAACGACATTAGAATCTATGTTGAAACGTCGCCTATACAGAATAAAGAAGTTGTATATCCATAAAACTTGTCCTCATTCTTCATCTCCTCAACTTCTAGAATGTCAATCAAAGAATTCATGTGCCGTGTTAGGTAGTAACTGGAAATTCAAAATATAAACGAGAGTAAAATCAGTCCCGATCGTCTTCCGAAACAAACTTTTACTATAATAGATGTAATAAAGTGATGCACGTTATATGAGTGGATCACTGTACATGAGGGATGACACCAGGAGTTCCTATGGAACCCGAGAAGGGACATTGTCGCGTTGTCGCATTGTCGCGTTGTCGCCCTCTCAAAAACAAGCAATATGAGGCAAAATTAACCAAAGCGCGACAATGCGTCAACGCGACATTTCGGCCATTTGTAGCATTGTCGCGATGTCGCATGTCGCGTTTTGAATAATATTTTTCTATTCCTCCAAAGGGCGACATAGCGACAGTTTTCAAGGTCAAAATATGTCGAATTGTAGCATTGTCGCCCCATCTAAGATGTGTGAAAAAAGCCCCAAAAATGGGCGACAACGCGACAACGCGACAATGTCCCTCCAGGATTCCATAGGTTCCCGAGGAGGGTCAGCATGTCCGTCCCTACTGGTAACATCCGCCATACACACAAATTTGCCAAAGCATTTTACTCCAGACCATATACTGATAATAAATATATAAATATTTGACAATTGTATTATGTCATTACAGGTTAGGAAATGCACAACAATGTGTTTTGTAAACAAGTGTGGCCATTTTCAGATCTGATGGTAACAACTCATCATGATTAAAGGCCGACGAACAGTCGCCGCTTGCTCCTACAGTCGAAATCGGATCAAGTCAGTTTGTCCTAATCCTTTACATAGAAATCCATTGATTGTACAAGTACCTGTGATCGTGTTACCAGAAATTAGGCTGAGTAGGCACCTCCTTCTCCGTACTGTAAGTGACGACAGAGTAAAAGTGCAGCTTGTATTTCACACTAAGGTCACCACCCGCGTGCTCCAAAGGACCTTCATATGTGGAGATGATTCTGTACTCGCTAATGCGTCTATTCTGGGACGACATGTGGTCCAATGACAGGACATTTCATCATGTTTCATTTTCAAATCTTTCAGCACTGTACTAATAGATGTGTGTACTTTGGGGATCGCTTTCGGAGAATTCTTCTAATTGTTATCTTTTTGATAAAAATTGCTTTTCATATTTCACAAACTGGGTTATTAGCACCTTGTAGGTGATATATTGTAATACATCGTGGTCGTACATCATTAGATTTGGGCAACTGGAAACTATTCACACCAGACAGTTGCTATTGGCAACAGGTGTACGTCAAGGAGACATGTTTGCACCAGCGACGTACACCCTGCACTAATACTTTTTTTTTTTTCTTCCATATTTCATGTACAGGCAAACATGTATAGATAACTTTCTTAATAATACAATGGTATATGTATACATGTATGAAAATGTACAGTTGGCTGAAAAAGTATAATTGGCTGGATTATCTTCCAAGTAATAGATGTAATGATGACCAATATTGAAAAAACAATTGTTCAGTTCCCGCAGATAAGTAAACATATCTCGACATATCATAGTGACGGACAATTTCATTTTTTAAATATTCTAACTTTGGTTTGAAACCATTTATGCTGCATCTGTAGATATAATGTTTGACAACTGAAATGATTCCATTTATCGGATTATTGTTTTTTCCTTTCATTCCCAA